GGATCGCAAAAATACATGAAACGGACGCATGAGGGAAGTACATGCATTACAAAAAGAAATTTTTGGCGAATTTTCGATTTGAGGTTAGAATGAAGCTTTGTTTTGTAGAAAACTGTAAAGTTTTGTTTTGCTTCGCGATATATTGGTATGTTCCTGTTACACGATGGGCAGCCGGACAAGGTTCTCAAACGACTGAGTGACCGGCAGTCCGATATTTTTCAAAAATTTATTGAACAAACTGAGAGAACCTACACGATCCAAACTCTTATAAGTCGTATATGTGCACGATCCTCGCAGTAAACCGCAGTTCAAATATACGTATATGAAACATAAACGTTTCATAACCGTAGTGCAGATATATGTATTTCATATATTCGTTGTGTTTGATTTATCATCTTACGGGTTTATGTCGAATTAATTTGATAGCCTGCTTCCAGTTGGCTTGTTAGTTCAATTGGTAGAGTGCTGCACTAGTATCGCAGAGGTCAGTGGTTTGAATCTCGTACATGGGCCTGAATTTTTTCAGGTCTGATTTTCTCTTACTTAAATAGTGCGTTACTGCGAGGATCGTCCACATATACGTTTCATAACCGCAGTTCAGATATATGTATTTCATATATTCGTTGCGTCTTATAAGTCGATGAGGAACTACTCAGCGATCCCGCAGTGTTTTATAAATCTCATGTTCATGGATCCTGAAATTGCAAATGTTAACACATAGAAATGGCGTGAGGTCAACTGCAGATCAGGGTTCTCAAATAACTAAATGACCAACAGTAAGAAATGTTTCGAAAAAACTTAATCATAAGAAATCGAGAAAACCTATACAATCCAAACTTTAATATGTCGATGAGGAAAGGGTCAGCGATCTCGAGGAGATTTACAAATCTCATATCTAGCGCTCAGTTTACGCTGACTCAAAATACTTAGAAGTTGCGTGAGGTCGAATACCGGCATGGCTCCAACAAAACTAGATGAGCGCCAGTCGGAAATTTTTCTAAAAAATTTAAGAAATCAAGACAACTTATGTAATTCAGTACAACTATTATACACCGACGAGGAACTACCAAGCGCTAACGTTCATGTCTAACGCCTAGTTTACGCTGGGCTAAGTGTCAACGTCAATGAGTTCATTCCAACTTCAACTTCTATTATAAAGGGAAGGATGTGCTCGTCAAGAATCTGTCAGCTGTTGTGATCAATGTACATGATCAACTTTAAAAAGGAAAGTGTCACCATCACAGGAGAGCCTAGACAGGAAGAACAACTTCATATTTCTTAGAAAGGTCACTCTTTCCTTACCATGTTACAACGCAGACTGCAGACTGCAGACCATGAAGACTGTGTACACCGTGCAGACGGGAAAACTTTTCATGTGTTACTTACTAATTAACCCTTCGATGCGGTTCACCCATGAATATATACGTATTTTTACTTAACACTAAATTTTGCTGAAAAGTCTTAATTAGAGGAGCTTCCACGAAATTTATGAATCAATGTTTCATCTTTATGGCAGCGTCCTATCAGAAAAATGGCGTGCAAGTGTATTGGCACGACTTTATTTCCGAGTAAAACTCGATTTTAGCTTGCAGCATGCACTTTATTTACTGTAAAGATCTTTTGGTCGTGTTGTGAAGATCCTGGTAATTATTTGCTTCGTCCACGCCGCCCATTTGTTACCTCTAAAGCAGAGTCACTGGTTAACACAAGTATACGAAAAAAATTAAAATTCATCAAAACACAACTTGGGGGCAAATGCCCTTGTCGATCTCCATCTCACCACATGCTCGATAAATTTAAACCTAAGATTTCGTTCGAATTGTTGCTAGGTAACCTGAGCTCGAAATAACCTCGTAAAACTACTTCAAGTGGTGTCCAAAAAAATGGACACCGTTCCAACGTTACCAAAATAGTAAGGAAAAGGTGAAAATCAGAGTGAGAACAAAGAAAAAAAATTAAAATACAGTCTGCATGATCTGCACGGTCTGCAGGTCTGCAGTCCGTGTTTTAATATGACGGACTTTTTCCTACCCCCTTTAAAGATGTAAATTTCACGTGACCTTCACTCTTCCCACACCTTGAAGTAATTCATTTTGCCCTGAATTTTCGTGAACTGCGACAATCATGGGCGCTTTCCATTCAACAAATATCAGGGGTTCAAAATGTCGGTATTTTCGCCGGCCGAATGGAACGCGTACGACCGTATCCAAGAGGGCAAACTCAAAACGTATACCTAAATTTTTGAAAACTTATCCCGGAACTTTTCCCGTTCCATTCGATTTCAGACCGGAAATCTCGAAAATTTTGGTCAAATGGAAAGCGCCCCATACCTTACATCATGTTGGAAACATTATTTTTTTTTTTAATTAGCTTCTTATAGACCAGAAAAAGCAATGTTTGACAAGCACCATCCACTGTCAATCCCCTAGGACCTAAAATCCTCGTCCTGGAAATGTTCACAGCCCACTTTGGTATCAGATGTTACTATTGGTTCTTTATTTTGATATCAATTTTTTTTCTTAACGTCCATATTTGTTTTCAAAGAAACCAAAAACAACCATGATATGTAGAATTCCAGTAGTCACTAAATTTGTTTCCTGGTTTCTGACCATTTACTCAAGCAGATTAAAACACAAACTTGTGCAACTAGAAGTTGTAGGAATATAGCGTGGATTCTTAACTTCTGAAGCTTAAAATCGTCCGGGCGTTTATGCAAAGTAAAGTCCGAATTTGTGGAAATATTGCGGCAGTTGCGCTTTACTGTAACTGCAACTGTTGTTTACCCATTTCAAACCACGTGACCAATCTATGACGTATGAAGCTAAGAAGGTCTATTGATCATTCGGTTATGAAAAAGACTTTACTGAGATCTCGTGACAACCAAAACGTAAGATCTGTTAACTAGAGTTCCTTCATTGCGCAACCTTACCTTCTTTATGTTCTTGGTTTCCTCTACCACTGTGTATTCTGGGAGTGGCTCTTTCGGTGCACTTGTTCCATGCCCTCTTCTTCCCTCAGATTCCCTATTAGTAATTAGTTCAATGTCTCTTCAGTAAATTGGACTTTCCGTGAACTGAATTCTCAGTTAAGGCTTTTAAAATGTTACGGTTTAAAAACTATTCATTCGCATTCAAAATAAATTTAAAAACCCTCGACTGAATAAACACACACACGAACATGGCAAAGAAAACAAATAAAAAAAAAGGTGGGGAAAAATAAATATGATTAAAATTTCACAAGTCATTGGAGGCAGAGTTACGAGCGTCTCATTAATAAATATTCAAAGAAATTGCAAAATAAGAACTTATTATATAATAATTAACAAATAAATACGAGAAAGGGCTGACATCCTGGTAACGGAAGAAATGTTCAAGAAGTATCCCATACATACCTCTTCGTGTCTTGGCATTCATTAGTATGGACTTCTTACAATAACATTTTAAAAAAGAAAAAAAGAAAACACTCAGTAAATAACTTAGGACTATATTAATTACACAGTATAAAACTAGTGTCCAATCCATATACACCAATACAAGTCACTGCTTGGCCAACGTGGTAGCAAACTATTCAAAGGCAAAACAGTACTATCATATGTACTAACAACTAACAATGCTCAACCCTACAAATTTGAGGCTATATATTTTCTTTCAATGATTGTTTCTTCTACTATATACATTTAAACATGCGTTTTAATTAAATACTTCAAACTTGGAAGTGCCTCCATTCAGTTCGATGACATCTCTAACAGTAACAGACGTACAGTGAAAATTAAACCCGAAATTAAATGAAAGTGACACTATGGTAAACTCGTGGATATCTTGTGCAGAATATAATTACAATACAAGTGAATTCACGAGATTGATTGAAATTGGTCAAAATTAATAATAATGTGCCGTACTTACCCTTTGAATCTTGATTTTCCTTGCATATACATTTACGGATACATCGAATGACAAGAACAATACAAATCGTTGCGCTGAAGCACCAGCAACATATGTTTCCAAGCAAAACAACAAGAAATAGCAACCCAACCACGATGAGGATAATCATCCACAACTTCAACCCTGAAAAACACCAAAGACCATTTGCATGTCTCAAGAATAGGGATTCTAACACACCTATTTTTTAACCTTATTTCTTGACTGTTCCAAGAACCAATATTGAGCTGTCGCAATTCATAACTTTGCCTGAACAACTGATATTGTTCACAAACTTACGAATTGTACATGTATGTAAGTTTTCCTATTGGAGGCCGTTCATATCAGTTCTAAACATTCATTATGTGAATGATCTGAACGTGTTTCTTTAATTGGTAATTCAAATAAACTCAGTGCTCTAAAGTTCTAAAGCTGCGTTAGACACGCAAGTGGGATGGAAGGGCATTGATGTTTTTTCTGAGCAAATGAAGCAGAAGCTGGGAATGTGATGGCGGCAATGGGGTTATAGAAGCAAACCGAGCTATAGCTTTGTGAGCTTAAAATGTAATCGTAGCAAGTACATAAAAAAAGCACATTCATAGCGTTTTACAACTGCCCCTTCCCACAACGATCTCCCCGTTCGCATAGTCTACAATCACTTTAGGATTTCCAACCAGGCAGTCTACCTCTCTCTCATAATCTTCGGCACCAGACGGTTTCCTTTTTCAACTATAAAATTACTGGTTTAGTTTTTTTGTCTGAAATCGAGCAGGTATTCATTTACTGCCATTGTCTCCAATTTATTCTGGAACCACGAATAT